ACAAACTGAAAAAAAACGAAGTTATATTACTGGTATACTATGTAATAAATTATTCAATAATCATTATTATAATAGTCCTAAATCTCTTATTTTTTATGTAAATTTCTTGATAAATATTTCGAAAATGGATTAAGTTTTCTTAACTTTGACCTAGTAATGTAAGTTACATTACACAGTAAAAAATCGACTTGAGTAAATCGCCAAAAATCATTGAGTTAATGCGTTGCTGAGTGAAATGTTGAGTAATTTTGTAAATATTATTCTAATTTGTGTATATTTAACTAAAAAATTACCTAAGTTACACTTTTTTGTGAAATTGCAATTAAAATTGTGTAATTTTACTAAATATTTGGTTAAACATAAGTAATTACTCATATTTGGGTAATAAAAACTCTAGAAAGTGAAGATTTATTTCTTTCGGTTGAATTCGCGTCTTTCACCTCTTAGTTGCCTGTTGATCTGACGTGTTGCATATTCCTTTAGGATTTGTTTTGGTTAATTAGAGTACGAATATAGGTAAGTTATTTCTGTAATATTATATCCTTATATATAAGACTTATCGTATAAGTAATATTATTACTGTAATAATATATTGTATATAAAGTATCGAAAACGTTGAATTTAAAGTGAGATATTTAGGGAAAAAATATGGAGTCGGCGTTCGAAAGATGAGCTCAATTATTCGAACATTATTGAACTCTGCTCTAACTTAATAATTATTATTAACTTTAACTTAATTATTACTTTAAGTTTTGATCTTGCTTTAAGTTGTTTGTTTTAGGAGCCATATGCAGTTTATCAGTCATACAATACACCTAAGCATTATATTATTCTAAAGTACGAGTTTTGTTAATATCTTATCCTATTTTATCATATGGGACATTTTTTATAATATTTATTATGTATTATTTGTTTTGTATTTAAAAGTATATTTATTTTATTTTGTTGGGATCTTTTGCTATTTTGTCATTGGCCATTTTTTAAATGTATCAATTGTTTTGTATTTAAAAGAAAATTTAATTGATAATTTAATTTAATTGATAATTATCATTAAATTATAATTTACTATTTTTATACATAATTAAGCTACTCTTTTTAAAAATAATGTACGTTTTTTGAAATAAAGTTTTGGTTTTATGATGAGTGTAATTTTATAAATTTACCTGCATTAATTAATAATGAGTAGAATTAACACTATTTAGTGAAAACAAGTCACTAAAGTGTGTTAAAATTAAATCAAAATAAGTTTAAAGTTACTTAAAAATATGTAAATTTTTACACAATTTTTCGACATAAATCACTTTTTTGAGTTAAAATTCACTCAAAATGTATTAATATATTTAACTCAAAAAAATGTAAATGCTACTAAAAAAAAATGAGTTAATTTTTTACACAATCCGGTGAGGACTCGTTTTGACAACACTTTGAGTTAATTTTGAGTTAAAATCCACTCAAAATTTTTTAGTGCGTATGTAACATATTTCAAGACAATCGCATTCGCATCTGCAAAAATCGTGCAAATATTTTGAGAATATGATTGTTACAAATACTATATATTTTAGGGTGTGCCAAAAAAACTCGATATTTTTTTTTGCTTGCCCTCCACCCAAAATATCGTAGAATATGTCCGAACAAATATTCTGTTAAAAGCGGAGCTCATAATTTCAATTTTAAGAGGTCCTCCATCGAATCTGAAGTTTTGCCGCTTAAATAACACAGAAAACTGACTTTTTTACCTTATTTATTCTTGCAACCTAGGAAGAATTTTTTTTTCATAAAATCCATGACTTATTCTTACAAAGCATTAAATTTGGACAAAAAAATCTTATTAAGCCGAATTTCTATTTTCATTATTTGATTTTTTACAGAGCTTTAAATTTAAAGTTAATAATACAAAAATTATGACTTTATACGTCTGTAACTTTTAGAATATTGACGATACAAAAAATTCGCCTTAAACTTTATTGTGGTCCATCAGACAAGCTAAAAAATTGCCATTTGACTTTTTCGTCTAACTTCAATAGTTTAGCTGAAAAAGGCAAAAAACGTAAAATTTTAAATTTAAAGCTCTGTAAAAAATCAAATAATGAAAATAGAAATTCGGCTTAATAAGATTTTTTCGTCCAAATTTAATGCTTTGAAAGATTTGGTCATGGATTTTATGAAAAAAAAAATTCTTCCTAGGTTGCAAGAATAAATAAGGTAAAAAAGTCAGTTTTCTGTGTTATTTAAGCGGCAAAACTTCAGATTCGATGGAGGACCTCTTAAAATTGAAATTATGAGCTCCGCTTTTAACAGGATATTTGTTCGGACATATTCTACGATATTTTGGGTGGAGAGCAAGAAAAAAAAATATCGACTTTTTTTGGCACACCCTAATATATTTACTTATAAAAATTGTAAAAACAAACTAAAAATATTAGTTTGATAATAAAGTTTTATTTCTATATTAATCAATGGCGGCAGATTTAAAAAATGTATATTCGCATTTGCGATATTTATGGCAAACATTCGCATTCCAAATTGTTAAAAATTTACATTCGTTCCATCAATATTTTTAGAGAAACAGAAATTTTTCTCTATTTCGTAGATTTAAATTAACGAATTTATTAAATTAATTTTATAATAATATATTTCCCATTTTTCTTTACTAACAAAAAAATATCAAATACCTGCTTATGTATTTTAATATTTCAATATTTTTAGAGAAACAGAAATTTTTCTCTATTTCGTAGATTTAAATTAACGAATTTATTAAATTAATTTTATAATAATATATTTCCCATTTTTCTTTACTAACAAAAAAATATCAAATACCTGCTTATAGCATAGGCGATGTTTCGTTTTCCTTTTCTTGTTCCTGTTGCTTGGAAGATATTCGGCTATAACAACTCTAAATTCTTTTATATTTTCGTTTGTAGTAAGCACACTCATTTATGTACTTAATGACAAACACTTTTTCCAGAAATCTCCTGGTATAAGTCTTAAAACAACACAATTATTAGTAAATATACTAAATTATATTATATTTTTTCTCAAAAAAATGGACTAATATCATGATCAATGAATTCCATTCTTTTTTCAATGCATTGTTAACGATCGGTACTTTAATTTCTATGAATATTTGGAGAAGAATGAAATTTATTAATCTCATATTTTCGAGTTTAAAATAAACTCGTAAACAGTCATAAGATAAAACATACCTAACAGACTTTTAAAAAGTTTTGGGTCTATCGCTAAGTGACCACCACGTTTTCCCGTTGCCGAATAATTTTTTAATGTCGATCCATACACCTCCAATAAAATTTCCTTAGTTACAATTTTCCACTTTTCAACGGTATCTGGCACTGTATCAGCCAAAGACTTTACATAAGTTAATTTATTCTTTGGAAAGAAAAAAACCACATGAAGGTGACAATTCCTCCTAGAAAATTAAATATACCTACATTAAAACATGAATTTCATTACTTACACATTTAATATTTAAAAGGTTTAACATGTACTTGTAAACGAAAAAATTAAAAAAAACTGTATAGTGTTTGTGAAAAAGCGAGATTTTCAAGTTTACATACAAAACAATAAAGGATGATAAAATAATTGAGATGTTTATTTTTGCTTGATGTTTGCACATGTATCAAATGGGTGGTTTTTTTATTTAATAATATTATCAATATTTACCATATTCCTGGCTGGATTCAAGTATTTTTTTCTTTCTGAAAAACAGTAAAAAGAAAGAATTTATATTTTTGTACAGATTTATGCAAATAATAATAAAATACCTCAAATTTTGCTGTAGAACTTTTGTCCAACTTTTGCGACGTTTTGTTAAAGTATTTCATGGCTGCAAGGAGAAGCTCTTGGAGTATGACTTTAACAATGAAAAAACATATTTTTGATACAGCTTGAAACTGGCGTTTTTTCTGAATTTACCTGGTCCAGAAAGTGTTGTAGCCAAGTACGAACAGCAATGTCAAATTTTTCTGGGTCGAGTGACTTTGTGTTTTCTGCCAAACCTGCAGATTGTTAAACTGAGTTTAAATCAGTTTATGCTTGTTCGAGGTTAATACGATGCACCTCACTTGAAAAATCTTTTTTTCAGCAACTTGTATATGTTTCTTATGGGAAGTAGTTTTAGAGGGGTCTAGAAAATTTGATTTTGAGTTATCCAACTCTGATTTCGATTCACTTTCTTTCGAACTTAGATTGGATGATTCTTGACAAGCGTTTTTATTAAAAATGTTCTGGTTAATTTCAGATAAGACATTTTGCCCGATTCTTGACATTGTTGGAGTGTTTCTTTGTGACAATGGCGGCAGCAAGCAAGAAAATTGTGGGATATTTGGTCGCGTATGTTGTGCCGCGAAGATATTGAAGGCCCCATTATAGGAATTTGCGACTTTCTTGGAGAATTATACTTTGCACTATTTAAATTATTGATATGGCAGAACGTATCTTTTTTTTTTGGGGGTAGACGTTATCATAGGGCGAGAAACAATTCACGAATCGTTGATAATCGTTTTTTTGAAACTTTCGTTTTTGGCCGCTTGCCACGCCTTTTGTCAGTTTTTTCTGTTGATATCTCCTCTGTAAAACGTTTTTAAGTTGCATTTTTAAATTAAGATTTAATAAAGCTGTCATAATGTAAGTATGGCCTTTTAACCATACGTCACCCAACAGTCCCAAATCACTACTGGTGGAGTCCCAATCGTCACATGGTGGAGGCGCCGGGTACATCAATTGTCTGGATCTTGGTTGTTCACCAAGTAAAGCGAGGTTTCTCTTAAGTCAAGTGAGCAAGGTTATGGTAATCTATAATATCTCCTTTTACTCTAATGTCTCGATAATAATCTATTATTTCTCCGACTGAACGATCAATCACTCTTAAGGTTTCTTGTTTGTTTGACACTAATAATCCTTTCGCTCCTTCTAACTCATAGGAAATCGGTTTTGTAAAGTATTAAGGTGCCTTCCGAGCAAGGAAGTTCAACTTGGCTCGAACATCACTGTTGCGCACCATATACTGCTGGCATTATCTTATCAGCGTTCTGAAGAATTGGGTTCTGCGGGTGACCTGCCCATATAGCTCCAGGTATAGGATTATTCTCGTAGAAGCGTGTTCTCATTTGAACTGGAGTAGCTGCATTAGCTAAACTCTCAACTACTTGTCTCAAATTTGATAATATGATCTGTTCAGATTGTGGAACAAACAAGCCTGCTGGTGTATGATTGTCGCAACCTAGCTTAGGAATGTACGTGGCATCGGCAATTTTAACTTTGCCAATTTGATTGACCACGGACGTTATCTGGTCTGGCATAATAGTTAATGCCTTAATGACAGTTAATTGGTCGACTGGCAATCTGATATTTGCATAGTGTAATTAATGCCTCTTTGGGCAATTTCGATTTTCGCCTCAAACACAACTCTATACATTTGGTAAATACCATTGACGGGAACATTGTTAAACTCGAATAAAATTGAAAATAAATGTGCTGTTCCAAAACCAATTGCTCGTGTAGTTACAAAGATGGTTATTGCTTTAAGAGTTGCGACGGCTTCATGCCTGTCTATTGCTGATTCAGAGTCTTTTACGTCTGGAAGTAATTTCTTTCTTAAGCTTTCAGATAAATCAAAGCTTGTATTGGCCGACTTCTGTTGTCTGAACTTCTCTTCTCGGCTGTTTTGGTAAGATTGTCTACCTCTACCTCTTGAAACTTGAGAGGGACGATCTCTTTGTTTAAATGGCGGTAACTGTTTACGGACTGTATCATATTGTTCTGCTACATTAGCAGTAACGTACGAATGATCGAACTCCAGCGTTTTGCGGTACATATTGCGGCGGTTTCGTACTCCTGACATCAAAGAGTAAAAATCTTAGGAGACACATCAAGAAAATTTCAAACATACCAGGAAAAAACAAAATGGAAGAAATGTTAAAAATATGGACAAACGTCAAAAATTATCGGCCAAAGCGAAGTTAGTTTCTAATCTCAAATCAAGGAGTCAAACAGGAAAATTAACCCGCGGTTGAGCATTTCGTATCCCATTCACAGCATCCTTGACTTAAAATTCTGACATATAGAGAAGAAGAAGATTTTACAACCTCAAAACAATGCAAAATTATCAAAATTTACTGCAAACTATTACATTAATGCTGTAGATTCATGTCATGCTGCTACGAACACAAAAAGCTTTATTTAAATAATGAACTCGTATATTCTACAAACACTCGTACATGGTAAGTGTCCTATTGTCCTATTGATTTGATACTGATATGTTGCCCCTGCCAACTATATTTCAATGCTAGATTATTTGCCAAAAGCAACTGCATAATTCTTTTTATATGGTTACTTCCCCCAATTTCAGAAAGTTCTTGAGTCTACAAAAAAATACAAGGATAAGTATTGTCTTAATTTAAAAATAATAGATCTCAAAAACTTTTTCAACCATTTTTACCATATTATATTATGATTATGGTTTATATTTTAAAAATTTTGGCATGTAGGTACATAGTGAGCAATTCCACGTTACTCGGCAATTTCTGGCGCTTCCGTAATAATAAAAAATTGTGACTAAAAGCTACCGTAAATAAATTAAATACTTTTGTTTATTATGCTTGTATTAATTAAGCTTAAGCTTATAATCATAATAATAATTGCGGTAGATTTTACTCACAATTTTTTATTATTGCCGAGTAATATGGAATTGCTTATTTATATATTTACCGCGTTCAAAAATTCTTCTTCGTTCTCAAGAAGGCTTTCAAGTTTTTGAAAGTCTTCGTCCTCGCCAATGGGAAACTTAATTTGTTCATTTTGGAATAAACTTGTTTTTCTATTTTTATTTTCTTTTGCGTTCCCATTTAACATTATTTGTTTTATTTCTTTTACTTCATGAAGAGTATCAGTTATTAGGCCCCTTAGGATGTGATTTTGCTGGATTAGGGTTTTTATTTGTTTATCTAAATAAATAGTTATAAGTCGTTAGGTTAATAAGTGAGTCTTTTTGTGCTGAGCTCAAAATTTGAAAATTGAGTAAAGCACAAAAATACACCTCTTGGCAAAATGACATACAATGTACAATATTTTATCATCAAGCGGCACAATTTTATTTTTTAAATAATAAATAAAACGTACTGTAGCGCAAAACAGTTGTCCCACTGTCCAGTCCCCACTCTTACCAGTTGACGACTCTATACCGAGGGCGCTCGATCCAGCCCGGCTGCCGGCTATAAAAGAAGCTGCGCGAGCCTCCGCACATTCATTCTGCCTTTCAGCCTCGCTAGGTTAAACAACCAGGCTCTCTGGAAGCGTTCCTCGTTCTTAGTTATTTATTTATTATAGAAATACATTTGTTGAATAAAGTTTTTTTAGTTTATTCGGCGTTTGTTATAACTGGCTCCCAACTTAGTGGCCGAAAAACTCACAGGTACTTTGCTTTACATTTTGTTTCGGGTATTTTGAGATAATTTGGCGGCATAAACGACATTATTTTGTCTTTAACCTCAATTGTCGCAACAACCTGTTTACGCTAAGAAAAACTAATTGGTTCGATAAGCGTCATTATTTTGACCTAGTCTTCTAATTGTTTGACTTATTACACAAACTTACCTATACGAAATATTAGTTCGATAAGCGTCATTATTTTGACCTAGTCTTCTAAGTAATTGTTACTTCCGATTTATAGAAAATCGCTGTTTAACGGAGCTGTAAAAACATTAGTTCGGTAAGCGTCATTTTTTTGACCTTGTCTTCTGATTGTTTTATGTGCTGCGTTTCAATAATTTTTTCTGCGCGTAATAAACATTAGTTCGGTAAGCGTCATTTTTTTGACCTTGTCTTCTGATTGTTTTATGTGCTGCGTTTCAATAATTTTTTCTGCGCGTAATAAACATTAGTTCGGTAAGCGTCATTTTTTTGACCTTGTCTTCTGATTGTTTTATGTGCTGCGTTTCAATAATTTTTTCTGCGCGTAATAAACATTAGTTCGGTAAGCGTCATTTTTTTGACCTTGTCTTCTGATTGTTTTAGGCGCTGCTTTAAATAATTTGTCCTGCACATAGCAAGCGTTAAACACAACACACCCTGTCCCACATAAATACGAGAAGTAAGGCACGTCAAGCCAACATGACGGCCACACTATCAGCAGAACAATTTCAACAATTGTTAAATACCCTTGGTACTAGCCTTACAGCGACAAATGTGTCCAGCAAGGGTAGTTTTAGCAAATGTACTGCGCGGTATGGCGGGGAGAGCACTCACGATGATTTAGAGAATTTTCTCACGACAATTACAATTTACAAAGAAATTGAGAGAATATCAGACGAAGACGCTGTGATAGGTTTGCCATTATTGTTAACCAATACAGCCGCAACATGGTGGCAGGGCATTAAAACAGAAGGCACAAGGTGGCAAGATATACCAGGGTTGATGAGAACGGCATTCTCCCCCGCAAAACCAGCATATGTCATTTATAAGGAAATATTTTCCGAAACACAGAAAGCAAATTCTCCTATAGACATTTTTATCTGTCATAAAAGATCGTTATTGGCTCAATTACCCAAAAATCGACACGATGAAGCGACCCAACTTGATCTAATATATTCACTCCTTCACGTAAAAATCCGTACGAAAGTTCCTCGAGACAGTGTTGCTACGTTTGCTGACTTATTGACCAAGGCGCGTCAAATAGAGGACTTCGAAAAAGAAATGCTACCAGTCGAAACAGTACGAGCAGACCCTCCTGCAAGAAACTCGCGTCGTTGCACCTTTTGTCACTATAAAGGACACACTTACGATCAATGCAGGAAACGTCTTAATCAAGCTGAGAAGACAAAAGCAGCTCAACCACCAAAACCAGCTGTTAATGAAAACGCTCGCACTCAGAGAGCAGAAGCAATTGTCCAACTTGTTCAAAAACAACGAGGGATGTTAACGCCTCAGCAATTGAATTTTGCACAGTTAATGTTGTCGTCCAGAAAACAGCTGAAGTTCCGACAATACCAGTAAAAATCTGTGGCAAAGCGGGATTGGCTTACATCGATACGGGTGCAAAAACCAGCGTCGCAAGCACGTCATTGTATAAAAAATTGCTTGAGAATGGTTCCTGTAAATTTCAAACCAAATTGGTGAATGTAGCGCTGGCTGACGGGACGCGACGGAGACAAGAAATTCTTACTACCGAAAACGCTCCCATTGTTCTTGGAGACAGATCCTTTAGGATAGATCTTATCGTCCTACCTGGAGACAAAGACAATCGAACACTTTTGGGAATCGATTTTTTGGAAAGATGCGGGATTGTCCTGAATGTTCCACAAAGATGCTGGTACTTTGCCGATCAGCCGCGATTTGTGACCGAATTTGTTACATGTCCGGTGTCTCGCACGGCAACCGAAGAGAACATTCCGAATAATGGCCAAGTTTTACCAGTGAAACGTTTTACTGCGGAAAGAGAAGATAATAGTAAGGCAACTTCACCATTTATTGAGTTTTTTACATCACCACTACCTTCGGACAATGAAGATGAACCTTACTCACCAGAAACCATCGACAACATTTTTCGCGACTCGCTACCGTTTAATTACTCTCCTGTGAAAAAGAAGTCCAAATTGGACATCCGATTATTTGCACTTGACATTAAACTGCAGGATCATGAGGCAACCACCATTAATGCAGAGCAGCGTGAAAGATTGAACGATGTACTGGTCGAAGTTAAGGATGTTTTTAGGAAGAATGGACCCCCTGCTTGTGGTAAGCAATTTCGTATAAAACTCACAGACACCTGTCCTATATCCTGTCCTCCGTACCGACTTAACCATACGCGTCAAAGTCAATTACGACAGAAAATCGATGAAATGCTCAGTAACGATATTATTAAGGAAAGCGATACTCCGTGGACCGCACCGGTTGTATTAGTTCCCAAGAGGGATGGAGATGTGAGAGTATGCATTGACTACCGGCGATTAAACGCCATAACAATCCCGGACCATTACCCTTTACCCAGGATAGACGATCTACTGCACGCTGCAAAGAGCATGCCATTTATGTCCAGTCTTGATTTAACGTCAGGCTATTGGCAGATCGAGATCCATCCGGATGATCAAGAAAAGGCGGGCTTTATAACGCCTTTTGGTGTGTATACTTTCCAGAGAATGCCTTTTGGCCTTCGGAATGCTCCCGCCGCATTCCAACGGCTAATGGACCGCGTTCGCGTTACCCTCGACCACGTGTCATTATTGACGTATTTGGATGATCTTATTATACGGTCACCTACATTTGAACAGCATGTTGAAGATCTGCGCAATGTTTTCAACACACTAAAGTCTTACAACCTGAGAGTTAACAGAGCTAAGTGTAAATTTGCGTGTCGTGAACTGCTCTATCTCGGTCATGTACTCACACAAAGTGGCATAACTGTCAACCCTTCAAAGGTGCAAACCATCGTGGACCTACCGCCTCCCAAAACCGTCAAGCAGCTGTTGTCGTTCATTCAAGCCTGCTCTTGGTACAGACGATTTATTCCCAATTTTGCGGATATTGCCCGACCACTTACCAATCTTACAAAAAAAAATATGATATGGAAATGGGGTGAATCTGAATCAAAAGCCTACAGCGAACTGAAGCAACGTCTGACAAACACGCCAGTACTACAGCAGGCCAACGAAAAAGATCCATTTATTGTTAAGACGGACGCAAGCGGATATGCAATCGGTGCAGTTTTAATCCAGGGGGAGGGTTCTAACGAACACCCAATCGAATACGCCAGTCGATTGCTGACGGGTGCCGAAAGAAATTACTCTACAACCGAACGGGAGGCTTTGGCAATTGTTTGGGCAATTGGAAAATTCCGTGGATACATTGAAAGTGCAGACTGCATAGTTATCACCGACCACCAACCTCTTAAATGGTTGATGGAATTGAAGACGCCAACAGGCAGACTCGCTAGATGGGCACTACAGTTACAGGCTTATAACTTGCAAATACAATATGCTCCAGGGCGCACGAACAAAGTTGCCGACTTTCTGTCAAGACCGCCATGTACTGAACATACGGAAGATTGTTCCATCTGCCGAATAGAGTTAACTATGCCGCATAGAACAGAAAAGGAACTCCGTCAATTACAATTAGATGACGCGCATCTGAAGGTAATTATTCAAGATCTTGAGAGTCAGCAAGACGAGTGTACAGAGAAATGGCATCAGCGAGGATACTTTCTACAACAAGGCGTCCTATTTCGTTACACTGAGGACCAAGATGATGATGATGCAAAACTCGTTGCACCTGAGTCTGAGAAAGCTTCAATTTTAGAAGCGTATCATGATGCTCCAACCGCCGGTCACAACGGTGTGGACAAAACCGTCTATCGCATTGCAAAGCGATATTTTTGGACAAATATGAGGAAAGATGTTGCCAAGTATATCTCCTCCTGTTTAAAGTGCCAGCGTTACAAGATTAGTAACCGAAGACCTCCCGGATTATTACAATCAACAGTTTCCAACCAGCGGTTTGAAACAATCGCTGTCGACCTCTTTGGGCCACTACCAATTTCAGTCGACAATCAACGATGGATATTTATTGTTGAAGACATTGCAACCCGATGGGTCGAACTGTTTGCTTTGCCCGAAGCGACTGCAGAGGCATGCGCCTCTATACTTCTTAATGACGTCATACTGCGTTACGGAACGCCGAGAAAAATGATTAGCGACAACGGCACCCAATTCATTTCCGCTGTATTCCAAAAGTTGTGCCATTGTTTGGGAGTGAAGCAATCATTTATTCCTTTATACCATGCAGAAGCTAACCCTGTGGAACGAAAGAAGCGTGATTTAAAAACTCAGTTAAGTATGCTAGTCGGAAATAAACACGACTCATGGTCAAAATATTTGCCCACCATCCGTTTCGCGATGAATTCGGCAAGATGCGAAAGCACTGGCTATAGCGCCTCATACCTCAATTTTGGAAGAGAGCTGCGCGCTCCTGCTGACGTACTTGATGACTTTAGCACCATTATTAATTCAGAAAACTTCGTTCCTGAGATAACCCCACACCTTAAGCAGCTTGCAAATGCGCTAAAGGTTGCAAAAGATTTGACCGAGCAGCGTCAGGACCGAAACCAGGCGTATGTTAATCAACATCGCAAACCCAGCCAAGACTATGTAACTGGTGACCAAGTACTTGTAAAAACACACGTACTCAGCAAAACATCGCAGGGAATTACTTCAAAATTTGCTCCTAGACGTGACGGTCCCTACACCATTGTCCGAAAGCATGGGCCTACCAGCTACGAGATTGCTCTGCCGGAAACTCCAGATACTCCACTAGGTGTGTACCATACAAGTGACTTAACCCGCTTTACTGTTTCAGCCGAACAAAAGGTACAACCTGTACGTCCTATCCGTAGAAGAGGACGACCACGTAAAGTTCATCCTGATCAGAAGTAATCAAGACCACCGTTTTGTCCTGGTGACTCATCGAGACGATATTCGCCACCAGAGGGGGAGATTGTAGCGCAAAACAGTTCTCCCACTGTCCAGTCCCCACTCTTACCAGTTGACGACTCTATACCGAGGGCGCTCGATCCAGCCCGGCTGCCGGCTATAAAAGAAGCTGCGCGAGCCTCCGCACATTCATTCTGCCTTTCAGCCTCGCTAGGTTAAACAACCAGGCTCTCTGGAAGCGTTCCTCGTTCTTAGTTATTTATTTATTATAGAAATACATTTGTTGAATAAAGTTTTTTTAGTTTATTCGGCGTTTGTTATAACTGGCTCCCAACGTGGTTTATATTTTAAAAATTTTGGCATGTAGGTACATAGTGAGCAATTCCACGTTACTCGGCAATTTCTGGCGCTTCCGTAATAATAAAAAATTGTGACTAAAAGCTACCGTAAATAAATTAAATACTTTTGTTTATTATGCTTGTATTAATTAAGCTTAAGCTTATAATCATAATAATAATTGCGGTAGATTTTACTCACAATTTTTTATTATTGCCGAGTAATATGGAATTGCTTATTTATATATTTACCGCGTTCAAAAATTCTTCTTCGTTCTCAAGAAGGCTTTCAAGTTTTTGAAAGTCTTCGTCCTCGCCAATGGGAAACTTAATTTGTTCATTTTGGAATAAACTTGTTTTTCTATTTTTATTTTCTTTTGCGTTCCCATTTAACATTATTTGTTTTATTTCTTTTACTTCATGAAGAGTATCAGTTATTAGGCCCCTTAGGATGTGATTTTGCTGGATTAGGGTTTTTATTTGTTTATCTAAATAAATAGTTATAAGTCGTTAGGTTAATAAGTGAGTCTTTTTGTGCTGAGCTCAAAATTTGAAAATTGAGTAAAGCACAAAAATACACCTCTTGGCAAAATGACATACAATGTACAATATTTTATCATCAAGCGGCACAATTTTATTTTTTAAATAATAAATAAAACGTACAATTATTATAAAACGAAGGAAGTGAAGTTAGATAGAAGGTTATCGAATGTTTTGATTGATCCAAACGGGTTATTTACAGCCTATGCGGTAAATAAATAACTTTACCTAATTGATCTAAATTATTTTTAAGGCCTAGGCGATAATCCATAGTAATGAGTGTTGAACAATAGTTTAAATTATACACCGATTGAAGATAAATATTATTAGCAACAATAATGAACTATACCTTTGTCATTGGGGTTTGAAATTATTATCATCATTAAAAATGTTCCCAAAAATTTTCTCACTGTTGATTTTTGGTTTTTGTTTTTTCTAAATAATTTAATTTTTGGTGGTTGCTCTAGAACAGAACCATTGATTGATTCCTCGCTTGAGGATACTATTTTTTGTACCCTCTTTCGCTTTTGAGGATCGCAATTTTCATCTGTATTTAAATCACTCGTTTCTTCAGCAACCTTAGCTTTTGCCCTTGCTTTAATGTAGTCGTCTAAAAACATTTTTAAGAAATCCTTAGTTTGAAATTATTAGTTTAATAAAAAAATAACATACCAAAAGTTGCACATCTGAAAATTTTGACGGAGTGGGTTGGCCAACAAGTGTTTAAAGGCTCCCACTTTCTGATGACTAAATTCAGTTTTTGTCGAGCGAAAGATGGCCAATGGCAAAGATCTCCTTGTATCCATGATGATGAAACTGCCTCAACAGTCCCATCATCCAAAAACTGAACAACTGTCCAAGTTTTTTCTTCCATACTTTATAAAAAAACATGATTGTAAGTAAAATAAAATGTTAAAAGTTAAATTATACAAATAAAATAAAACAAAACTTTAAAATACAATACAATAAACATAAACATAAACATATTAAAATATTAAATTGAAGTCTTGTAAAAACAGTTTAATCTGCTATTAGAGCAATAAAATACAGGGTGATTCACGATTGATTCAATCCCAGATTTTCAAATTAAAAAAAAAATCACAGCCTTAAAGATCAGAAGTGCAAACCGTTTTGCTTTCGCCATAGTTTTAAATTATTAAATTAGCAAAAATGACAAATTTTGAATTGAGCTGAACCTGCCATGAATTACCCTGTATTTTGTCTGCAGCATATCAAAAAATCTTATTAACAATGCAAAAGTGGCATTACAATTGTATAATCTTCAAATTTTAATTTTAAACAGTTATAATCTAAAAGATCACCACTAAATATCTCGTTAGGTCCTAAACCGTCTTCTTTTGTTTTGAAAATACCTATTTCTGAAGAATTGCAGGGAGTTTCATAAAAAGAACTTTTTTTGTTATATTTTCTACCTATTAAATTGAAACAATTATCGAATTTAATAATATTGGAAATAATTATAATATCCTCATTTTTAAGACAACAACAATTATCTGGTGGGGAGGTTTTTAAAGTAAATTTTGAAAAAATTATCTTTTTAAATTGATAAAATAAATTAGCTGGCTCCTTAACAAAAATTACTGGACCTAGAGTATGTGAGTCTGTAAATATTGGAAATCTTTCTTTTTGTCTTTGATTAACAATGTTTTTCTCTGAATATCTTTTAATTATTTGCTGTAGTGGTTTTTCAGATTTTCGTACAGATTTTAAAATTGTTTCTAAAAAGTTTTCAAATGGAAACGGGCTAAAATTATCCAAATGTCCATGATATTCTACATCCTTTGCCAAATGTAGTAAATTGGGTACATTGTGGGAGGTATTTGATATTCCATATAAAACTTTAAAACTTTTTACAAAATATTTTAAAAGTTCTTCTGCATAATCAATATGAGCACTATGCCGGGAACTTAAAAGAATTGATATTGCTACATGTAATGATAAAAAATTGGTGTATCTATCATTATTTAAATATTTTTTGAATACTAAAGGGCCAGTAAAAAGTAAGATCTGACGGAATTCTGTTGCTTTCCATCTTTTTACTTCTGACAAGCTTCTAGGCATTCGATTAAATTCAAGTGGAATATTTGAAGATAAGGCAATTAATGACTCCGATATACCAGATATGTTTAAATACGAAATTTTGGTTGTTGGATTTCCAAAGCAAAATAAAAGTAATAGTTTTTTCATTACTCCAAGGCAAACTAGATGCATATAATCCAAAGGAAAGCCTTGTATCATGTCTAAGCCTGGAATATTCTTTGTTGACCCTAAATGATGATCCTCATCTGCATGTGACCTAAACTGTTCATCAGATCTAAGTTGCAATAAATTTACTTCTGGAAAACACATTTTATCCAAGTATTTACCCTGAATTGTACACTTGGTGCATGATGCATACCCAGTATGTCCTTTAATTTGTTTGATAAAAGATTTAGCTGGAGCATCACATATAAATGCCTTAATTTTTACATTATATTATTTATTATTAATCATGGTGCCCTCATTAATAATTAAAATGCAGTCTTCTACAAAATCTTTTAAAAAAGTATTGGAGTTATGGGGTTTATTATAGCCATGATAGATGCCCACCATTTCTACAATATTAGGTTGTCCAACAATGGATATTGGGTATACTTGACAACTCGAACTTTTGGCTAAAGGAAGACCATCTATATTAACATTAAGTTCTATAGTATTTTTTTTTTTAAATTTGTACCAAGCTCAGGGCCAAGGCAGTCAAAAATATTTTTTATTGCCGCATTTATACCAAAATGATAGTAATTTCCAGGAGGCATGGACTTTATTTCAACATTACGGAGAGTATGGAGTAGAGTACGGGCATCTATTGGTAATTCCTCAGATACTTTGTCATGTAAAAGTTTCAACAAGGAATTTGTGGCTACATTGGGTATATTATATTTAATTGCCCATTCGGCTAATTTATGTTTCAAGAGAGAAGAATTCTGCATTTTTTTATCCAAGTCCTAAGTTTCTGTTTCAACTTCAGATTCTGAATCTGAGTCAACACAGTAGCTACTGCTACTTGACTGTGGTTCCAAACTGTGTTTAGAATCAGGAAAATTAGTAATTGGGTTTGTCGAGGGGTTTGTGCTCCTAGGATTTTCACTGTTCCCTGTTGTGTAGTAATATCGTCCATTTCAGCACTACTATTATAAGCTCTTTTAGCACGCATGTAATATTTTTGTAAATTTCGTTTCATTTTTGGATTCTAGGATTCTAGGTCCTAGAATGTAGGAGCACAAAAGAACCAATAAGAAATAAACTTGAATAATTATATTCTAGGTACTCACCTTAAAGCAGTCGATAAAACACACAGTTTGATCACAACACAACGGTTTGATTAAGTTTTCTGTATAACAAATTACGAACAGAAAACGACGCTTCCACTGTGCAGACCAGGGGGGTGAAACTTGAATATGCAAACATGTGATTTTTGACATTTGACACAGAACATTTCTATCCAACCAGGTTGCAACTTTATAGCGGTGTTGCCAAGTCGTGCACCTAACGCAAAATTTTCCTATAATCAATCATTATTCACATATCGAGGTAACCATCTTTTTTATTTTTTTATATATTAAATTATTTTTTATATGATTATAAATTACCATTTATATTAAGGTTTAAATATTTAAAAATAATATGTTGAAAAATTACATCGTCGTTGCCAAGTTGTAGACCTGACAAAAAAAAAAGAATTTTACCATTTTCATGAACATAAATCACAGAACATAGGACCCAAATTGAGAATCTCAATTTGAGATGTGGAGATCTCGGAATCTGTACCCGGCGCCTACAAACTTTATTTTATTTTATTTTATTAATACTTATAATTTTAAATTAATTTTTATATATAAATATTAAGTTAAAGTCCTGAGCACAATTCCAACATGTGTACATTTATATTTATAAATAATAAAATTTACATTTGTAAAATTTAATAGTTTACCTTTTCGTTATGCACTTATTTTTATTGGTTATGTATTTATTTTTAGCGAAGTTAAGTTGAGACGTCTTGTACCGATACTTACAAGACATCTTAAAGACGTCTTTTTTATGTCTATAGGCGTCCAGGCATAATTAAGATCAAACAAAGACGTCTTTAAGATATTATGTGCTGTCTGGGGTAGGACCACGAAAAAGCAATTTGAAGAACTTTTACATTTTGCCCAGGAGCATAAAAATATACTTAACTTAAAATTGAAGCCCACAGAAGTGGTGAAATTAAATTCCTTGTGGAATGAATTTTCCACAAGGATTAACAGCAAAAACATTGGCCCGGCAAAGACGCCGAGTCAATGGAAGCAAGTAAGTTATAATTAAATACATAAATTTAAATGAATATTAAAGTAATTACGGATTTACAATGTTCATGTTTAAGGTATTCTCAGAATGGAAATCAAAAGTGCGGCGCAAGGCAAGGATTATTGAGCAATCGAGGATCCAAACTGGAGGAGGGCCAGCAGACTCAACGGAATTAAATGCCGTTGAGGAGCAATTGCTGGCCCTCACTTCTAAAATTTATTTGGGGGATACTGAGGTAGAAGAGGCTGGTGTCTCAGCCTCAGCCTCACGACCAGGTTAGATTGCTATGGTACACATAAAACAAATTTAGGAGTTGCAAAAACTTTTTTCTTATTTAAATATTAATAGTAGGTATTTTATTTATATTTTAATAAGTTCTTGCCATAACAATTATACAAGTTTTGCAAAAAAAACATGCATAATATGCTAATTAGCATATACTTATAATATAATATAAGTATAATCTTTTTTAATTTTAATTCTTTTTTTAGAAGCAGTTCCTATGGCGGAAGTGCGAAGAGGTAGGTAATAAAATAAAAAAATACTGTTTAAAAAAATTCAGTTCAAAATCCATTATCTTTGGATGTACTGAATCCATATGCAAGCAATTGTAGAAAAAACAATAATTACCTAATAATAATATAATATAATTATATTTTATATGGACTAAATATTAATTAGCATAAGTATACTCTTCTTTAATTCCAAATATTTTTTTAGAAGCAGTTCCTATAGCGGAAGTCCGAAGAGGTAGGTAATAAAATAAAAAAATACTGTTTAAAAAAATTCAGTTCAAAATCCATTATCTCTGGATGTACTGAATCCATATGGAAGCAATTGTAGAAAAAACAATAATATAGTATAATTATGTTTTATATGGACTAAATATTAATTAGCATAAGTATACTCTTCTTTAATTGAAAATATTTTTTTAGAAGCAGTTCCTATGGCGGAAGTCCGAAGAGGTAGGTAATAAAATAAAAAAATACTGTTTAAAAAAATTCAGTTCAAAATCCATTATCTCTGGATGTACTGAATCCATATGGAAGCAATTGAAAAAAAACAATAATTAATAATAATATAATATAATTATATTTTATATGGACTAAATATTAATTAGCATAAGTATACTCTTCTTTAATTCCAAATATTTTTTTAGAAGCAGTTCCCAGGGCAGAATTTCGAAGAGGTAGGTAATAAAATAAAAAAAAATTAAGGATTTATTTTTTATTTTGAAAAATACATATACTAAAGCAATGAACTATACAATTTTTTAGCACCAAAAAGAACCCGTTTGGAGGCCATTGTAGACCGTTTTGCTGAAGCAAAACGAATCGACGCAGATGCGGCAACTACAGTGGCCTCTGCTATAAATAACTTCGAAAAAACCTACAAAAAAATTAAATTGGAGGAATTAAAAGTGCAAGAAAAAAGACTTAAACTAGATTATTTTTTAAAGTTTGGTACTATGGATGGATTTGATGATCTATTTAACTAGTAACATAGTATTAGATTAGTTAGGTTTAGGTTTAGGCAAGTTAGCATTAGTGTAAGTATACAGGGGAGGAAAAATCGTAATTATCCATAGCCCATAAGTGTGAGAGAGTAAAAAGATAGTGGGGAATTCCGTAGGAAGGGTTACTGACGCACTGTTGGCCAAAACAACGGACGTGATTACTAAATCTTATTTACCTGGATTATTTTTAGACTGTAATAAACTTTTTTTCTTGAGTTTAACTTACAAAAATTCTTGTTTCTTGTATTATTAAATTTTAAGTATGTATTTCTTTAAATTAATTAGATAAAATTGGTAAAAAAACTTAAAAGTGGCATATAAAAAGTATTTTATTTAAACTACAAAATTAATTTTCAAAAGCAATATTTTATCTAAAAAACTAAAATAAAAATATAATATAAAAAATATCAAATATAGGTACCTATTTTATTAAATAATAACTATTAATTACGTAACCCTTTTTTCATTTATTTAAACAACATTTTTTAAAAATTTATATTAACTATTTTTTTTTTGTTTTTTGTATTATTAAGTTTTAAATTAATTCATTATAAGTGGTAAAAAAAAATAAAACTAAAAAGTGACATAAAAATATTTTAATTACTAAAAAATAAATTTTAAAAAGCAATATTTTATCTAAAAACTAAAATAAAATATAAAAAATATCAAAAATTTTTAAAAGTGAAATATACCTACCTATTTTTAATAAATAATAAATATTAATTACGTAACCTTTTTTTCTTTAATTTAAATAATTAACATTTTTAAAAAAATTAAATTAATTAATTTTTTTTGTTCCATATATTATTTAAATTAATTCAAGTAGTAAAATAAAACTAAAAAGTGGCATATAAAAATACTTTATTTAAACTACAGAATAAATTTAAAAAACAATAAACTTAAACAAAAATAGAATATGTAAAATAACAAATATTTAAAAAATAAAATATATCTATTTTCAATAAATAATAATTTTTAATTGCGTAAATGTTCGAAAAGGCCTCCGTTTTGAATTTCGCAATGGCCTATTCGAAAGTATAATTCTTTTTGTACATTGCCTATCATTTCAGGGGTTATATTTTCCACCGCAGTAACAATTTTTGCACGCAATTCATTTAAATTGTGTGCCCTGTCATGTTCATGCCCATAAATTGTATTTTTAATATAACCCCAAAGAAAAAAATCGCAGGGTGCTAAATCAGGAGATCTAGGGGGCCAAGAAATCGTCCCTGTTGTAGAAATTAATCTATTTGTAAAAGTAGCATCATCCTTGAGGTCGTGTGATGAGGTGAAAAGTAATCGAGAGTCATCGAAGCGGTTAAAAGCCGGATTGGTTTCATTTATTAAGTTTTGGATGGTAATTGGTGCTCTCGAAGAGAATTGGTGGTGAATAAGGCCTGAGAAACCGTAGTTTGGTGATTTTTGTACATGTTGCTGGAAACAACCAGGCGTTTTATTCTTCACCACATGGTTCAAGATTTTGTTTTGGGAAACACTAGCCAACGGGATCACATCGCCTTGTTACGACTTTTAAATAATACAAGAAAACCCTTTTGAGTAAAGGTAATTCACAATTTCCATGTTTTTCTCTGTATTTATTACTGTATATTTTAAGGGTTTTCTGGTAGACATATATTTTTGGGTACATGGACTTTTATTGCACGATGGATATTTGGGGAGGCCTTCAACTATATAAATAAGGACCTTGAGATTCCCTTCTACTGTAGAAGTTCTACATGTGCACCTCTTGACCGTTTTATTGCATTGCTGTGGACAGAAATTTCCAACCCTGAATACCCTGGTGAGCTTGTAAAATTTATCTTGTTAAAGAGAGTGTAGCTTAGGCTACCAAATTTGGTTAATTTTATTGCACATATTGTAAATATATAAATGTATGGTAGGTCTATTATTAAGTAGAGCTTAGGTTAAATTGTATATTAGGTTACATGGGTCTCAGTAGCTTAAGCTACCAAATTTGGTTAATTGTATTGCACATATTGTAAATAAATAAATGTAAGGTAGGGCTATTATTAAGTAGAGCTTAGGTTAAATTGTTTAATAGGTCACGTGGGTCTCACAGACCTACAGTGGGTCCAAACCAACGACATCTCTTTTTCTTGTATTTTTTTAACGCAATAAAAAATACAATGGCTCCCTATTGAAGTTGATTTAAATTGTTTTTTTATACCTTTAAAGTTTAAGTAAGCAGGTAAGCAAACCCATTTCCCAGCCTCCGAAAAGGAGCAGTCGGTAAAGAAACGTCGCACAATTTTGGCTCCCAACGTGGGGCCTGCAAAACTTACTTAAACTTTGAAATATTGGGCTATAAAAAATTTAGTTAGAATAAATATAGATTTGATCTTTGTTTGGTGTCCAAGAGTTGGACTTTGAAAAGTATTTTTATTTGGGAAGTTAACGTAAACTTGTATTGTTGATTACTTACCAGTTGGATTTTTTTATTTTTTATATTTTGTAAAATACTCACACCCCGTTACTTATTTTTACTGCTTACAAATAATATTATTGCAAAGTGTTTTGGTACTTACCTTAAATAAGTGTTTAAAATAAAGTAAAGCCATGGATCCAAATCAGCTCCTTCTTGAAGAAATAGACTATGAACTTAAGCTACGAGGGGTCGTCTTGAAAGAAAATATTGCTCAGAAAAGGAGTACCCTTAAGGGATACCTAGAACTAGAAGCAGAAAAGAGTTTTAAATATCCTGTAGTACATTTTGCCTCGGCAGAGGAGTTTGGAATCTGCACTTCAAAATTGGGAACTCTTACAAAT